AGCTTCGAAACGTGTACAGCAAACGCTTTCGATTCTCATATCGAGTTTTTGTTCTTTTTTCTTTGATTTGTTTGTGTCAAGTCCAGGTGACTTTCTGACTTGTAAAATAATAAATTGATCTGTTTTTGTTCATCAACTTCAAGACTTCTTTTCAATTCGGCTTCCTGCGTAAATCATCAATCTCAGCGCACACATGGGTGCGCGATCACCCTATTAAGATACAGTCCACTCAACAATTATCCTATTGTCCATCCATCACATCTCTCATGAGATTCCTATGATTTCTTTCCAATAAAAAAAAAAAAAACGGGTGAAGGATTTGAGAGGCGGCGCGCGAGACGCGGCCCTAAAAAGGCCGAGCATGCTCGTTCGTCGCAGCTTCGCGTCGGACCACGGTTCAAGCCGCGCGTTCGCAACAGACTCTACTGCCATTACTTGAAACAAATACATTATTCGATATTAACAAATTGGAACTCTGGAATTACGAGTAATTATTTTTCATTGTACAGACTAGGTTTAAATTTTTGAGGACCTTCTTTTGAACATGGCTTGACCTTTTCATTTTTATAATTTTTTGGAGATAGGGTGAGAGAGGACGAATGAGGGTAAGAGAAGACGAGATAGGCGAAAAAGGGTGAAAGAGAACGAAAGAGGGTGAGAAAGGACGTACGAGGGTGAAAGAGGTGAGAGAGGGTGAGAGAGGACGAAAGAGGGTGACAGAGGACAAAAGAGGTCGAAAGAGGGTGAGAGAGAACGAAAGAGGGTGAAAGAGGACGAAAGAGGGTGAAAGAGGACGAAAGAGGTGAGAAGAGAGGGCGAAAGAAGGTGAGAAAGAATGAAAGAGGGAGAGAGGACGAAAGAGAGTGAAAGAAGGTGAAAGAGGACGAAAGAGGTAAAAGAGGGTGAGAAAAAATGAAAGAGGGCGAGAGAGAAAGAGAGTGAAAGAGGACGAAAGAGGGTGAAAGAGGACGAAAGAGGGTGAGAGAGAATGAAAGAGGGTGAGAAGAAGACGAAAAGGGTGAAAGAGGGTGAGAGAGAATGAAAGAGGGTGAGAGAGACGAGAGGGTGAGAGAGAATGAAAGAGGGTGAAAGAGGACGAAAGAGGGTGAGTAGAGGGTGAAAGAGGGTGAAAGAGGACGAAGGGGTGAGAGGGAATGAAAGAGGGTGAAAGAGGATGAGAGAATGAAAGAGAGTGAAAGAGGACGAAAGAGGGTGAGAGAGGGCGAAAGAGGGTGAAAGAGGGTGAGAGGACGAAAGAGGGTGAAAAAGGCGAAAGAGGGGTGGGAGTGTGGGTGGGGTGGGGTGGGGGTGGGGTGGGACGTGGGTGGGAAAGGCGTGGGTGGAAGTTGAGGGAGGTGTGAGTGAAAGGTGAGAAGAGATTTATATGCGGACAGAGAAGAAGAAGAAGAAGAAGAAGAAGAAGAAGAAGAAGAGAAGAAGAAGAAGAAGAAGAAGAAGAAGAAGAAGAAGACGACGTTACTTCATTTTTCATGAAAAACGTCACTTTTTGACCGCTTGTATCTCCAGAACAGCTTGACCGATTTTATTTTTTTTGGCTCAAATTACTCGTGGCGATGCCGCCTTTCAGGTTATATTACGTGCAATTCAAAATTTTTTATATTTTAGTAGTTCTACACCCCCAAAAAATGGACTTTGATGGTGCAGGATAAGGAGACTTGTAGTGTCTTTTAAGGTCTTTTAGGGTTTGAACATGGCCGGAGACACTACCGCGTCTCCTGATATATTAGTCATATACATATACATTAATATTTTGCAAGTATTTATTTGTCACTTACAATATCCTTATGACGAGATAAATGCATTTGAATCACATGTCAATTTTGTAATTAATTTTCTGCAAACCTAAAGTATAAAAACGCTCAGTTTGTGCGGAAAACAAAATGTTTAATTTTGTTCATTTATTTATAATAAAACTTCTAAATATTTAATTAGAATGAGTCAACAACATATACCTGATATTATAGAAATTTGATGAGATTTGTGTTTCTCTTTTGCAATTCGTTCAACTTCCTTCATCAACAGTGTTAGAATTTATCATTTTATAACTCAATTAATTCATGGGTAGTGCTTCTTGTTAATGCTGTGTTGGGTGCTGCTCCCTTTTTTTATTGTATTATTTGGTACTAACATAAGTCTTTGTCTTGTATGTCTGCTCGTTCGTTTATCTCAGATTATATATCTTGTCTCTGAACAAAGTGTCGTTTATCCATTCATTCCACATTCTGCATGATATACCTGCAACAGGTTATGGGCTCAGTCTCGGTAGATACCGGGAATATAATTTAAGTCGAAAAAAAATATACAATTTATCTATTTTTCTGTGGTCTGTTGTTTTTTTGTACGTATCCGTCGAAAGCATGGCGACAGAACCGGCTTCTCGGTCGCTTTTGCGAAGCTCAAAGGACGAGAAAATTATATTAACTGGAAATTTCAAATGAAGAATTATTTGCGGCATGACAATTTGTGAAGTGCTATCAGTGGATACGTCGAAGGAAATAGAACGACAACCGAAGAAAAATTACGAAGAGATGAGAAAGCTCTCTCGAAGATTAATCTCATGGTTGATCAATGCTGCTTTTCATACCTTATAACGTGTGAAACTGCTAAGCAGGCATGGAATGCACTTGAAAATGCATTTGAAGATAAGGGACTCAATCGACGTGTGGGACTTCTTCGTAGTCTATGTTCCGTAAGATTGGAAAATTTTACTTCAATAGAAACCTATGTCAATGAAGTTATGTCGCTCGCTGAAAAACTTCGTGTTGTAGATAAACCGGTTGATGAATTTCTAGAAGCTATTATGTTACTAGGTCTCCCTGACACATATCAACCTATGTGCATGGCACTTGAACATTCAGATGCGGATATCACTAGTGATTTAGTTAAAACTAAACTGTTACAGGACACTAATTGGAATAAAACAAATCCACAAACTGCGATGTTCTCATATAAACAAAAAAAGGAATTTTAACCCAAATAAATCTAAGCCAAAGAAACCTTTTTGTTGGAATTGTCATAAAGCTGGACATTACAAATCTGACTGTATAAAACGTATACAAAATACTGAAACCAAGGCTTCATCGGAGAAGAAATGTTTAGATAAATCTATTGAAAAGGACAAAAAGAACGAAAAAAAGAAAAGGATTACAATACATTGGTCAAAAAAATTATCGCAACACGCAATTAATATTAAAATTTTGCGTAAATTCAAATAAGCGTATCTCCGCAAAAAATTATCGTATTAAAAATTTTTTTTGTTTTAAAGGGTGAAGTCTCTACTTTAAGAAACTTTCGTTTGATTTTGATTTCATCCTCTTCTCCTCTTTCCACTCTTTCAAAAAGTAAGGTGTTTTTTTTTCAAAAAATTGCAAAATTTGACGAACTCTACAAAGTAAAATAAATTTTTTTCGCAAATCTTATTATTTGCAAATTTTTGTAAAATATGAACTTTTTCGTACAAATTAAAAAAAGCAAAGTTTGTACGATTTTTTTGGGCAGAGTTACGGCATATCAAAGTTATCTATGCATTTTTGTACAATTATCACCAGCATCAGCGATACCAGATGCGCACCAACGATGATTGCACGACAAATTGCTAATGAAGATCTCTCTCACAGGATCAGTGATTACACAATTAGAAGACGTTTATGTGAACGTGGTTTAAGATCGCAACTTCGACATTTTCCTCTTCTAATGTATGAAAAAAATGCATACTTTATGATTCATACATTTGGAAAAAAAATGTTGAACTCGCGATCTTAAACCACGTCTTTTAATTTTTTGATTACTGATTCTGTGAGGGAAATCTTCATTACCAATTTGTCGCGCAACCATCGTTAGTGCGCGTCGGGTATCGCTAACAATCTCTAAAAACTCACCTTTAAAAAAAGGTAAAAAAAGGCGACCAGTTAAGGGCACGCCATTAACAAAAATTATTTATTGCAAACCCATGTAGAATCCTATCCTATTGCAAACCCATGTAGAATCCTATGAAAAATTAATCATTGCAAACCCATGTAGAATCCTAGGCAAAATTAACCATTGCAAACCCATGTAGAATCGTACCCATTGCAAACCTATGTGGAATCCTATGAAAAATTAACCATTGCAAACCCATGTAGAATTGTATTAAAAATTATCCATTGCAAACTTATGTAGAATCCTACATTGCAAACCCATGTACAATAGAATTGTATGAAAAATTATTGATTATAAACCCATGTACAATTGTAACAAAAGTAATGAAATAAAAAAAAATTGCGACAAGTGAAAGTAGAAACTTGTACCAGTGGAAAATTAAAATTGCAGACATATATATAGTCGTATAATGAATCAGTAAAAATTTAAATTTGCAAATGTAGAATCGTACCATAAAAAAACTTATCTTTTAAAAAAAAAGATAAACAAGATGCCAAGTCCATTAATATAAAATAAAAAGAAATAAAAAAATTGTAGTTAAAAAAACTGGGCGCGCTGCTAAATAATATTCTAATGATATTAAAATTAAATTGTTATTTTTAAATTCATTGCAGTTAAAATATGTTTTGTGTTTAAATTAATTAATGTTACTTTAAGATGCTAAATAATATTCTAATGATATTAAAATTAAATTGTTATTTTTAAACTCATTGCAGTTAAAATATGTTTTGTGTTTAAATTAATTAATGTTACTTTAAGGTGCATTGTAATTTTGAAACTTAGCAGCGCGCCCAGTTTTTTTAACTACAATCTTTTTATTTCTTTTTATTTTATATTAATGGACTTGGCATCTTGTTTATCTTTTTTTTTAAAAGATAAGTTTTTTTATGGTACGATTCTACATTTGCAAATTTAAACGAAAATTTGGATAAGATTTGCGAAAAAAATTTATTTTACTCCGTAGAGTTTGCGAAATTTTGATATTAATTGCGTGTTGCGATAACTTTTTTGACCAATGTATATATATTGTATATAAAATATATTATTCTTTTTTTAAAAAGGGCATATTATCAAGATTCAACTAATATGCATTCTTTAGAAAGGGATTCGATACAAAGGGAACGAGATTCAAGTAACATGCCTTTAGGGAATACTAAATATTATAAAGTGCGTATTCTCTTGCAAATTGCTTTCATTTTTTTACATCATCCGACTTGTCATAAAATAGGAACAATTTATAACTTGGTAGATAGAGCTTTATTACTATCACATCCGCAATTTCACAAAAAAAATATAGAGAAAGCTATTAACATTTTGCTATCCAACGGTTATCCTATTGATCTAATTTTCACAGAAATAAAACGCAGATTAAAAAATCTGTCAACTAAGAAATTTAACAAGCCTAATAATAACAATACAACAGATACTAATAATACTAATACTAACATTAAATATTTTGTCATACCATATATAGAATCAATATCTGAGAAAGTTGCTTCAGCAATAAGAAGACCTAACGTAGTGGTAGGATATCGTTGCATTAAAAAATTGAATGACTTCATAAAAGTTCAAAAGGACAGAAATAATTGCCCCACGAATTCTAATGTTATTTATAAATTGAATTGCAACGATTGTGACGCCACATATGTCGGACAGACAAAAAGACAGTTAGGAACGAGACTTAAAGAACATAAAAATAATATTAAATTAGACTCTGCTAAACATTCGGTTGTCACGGAACACATTCTAAACGAACAACATACATTTGACTGGGACAATATTAAAATTATGGATCATGAAAAGAATTACCATAAAAGGCTAATATCTGAAATGATCCACATTAAGGAACAGAAAAATGGAATTAATTTAAATACAGACACCGAATTGTTAGACAGTAGTTATTTTGACATACTTAAAAAAGTTGCTGAATCATAGTTTAGAAAAAACATTGGTAATAAATAAATACATCACGCTCTCTATTTTGACATTTGTTATTCAGACTTCGCAACACACACATGAAATATCGGGAAAAAGGACTTGTTAAAACGATAATGTAAGTTGAAAGATTTTTTAATTTTCTCTGACATTGATTTAATTCGCGTATTATATCCGCAGCATGTTTAAATGTCGCATAACTTGGCATCTCAGACCAATCGCCTTGCACATCTATTGGTCAACAGCGAAGAATCGTTTTAATTTTATATTTTAATATTTAACTAACTTTGTATTTTTAACATTTAACTTTGTATTTTAATATTTAACTTTTATGTATTGATAAAGACTGTAGTGCAGTCGAAACGTTTACAATTTATATCGTTTTTGTAACGGAATGTTAATTTAATTATTTAACTATTAATAAATTTTTACACCTTATTTATTTGCTCGTTCAGTTGGCCTACTTTATTTGATTTATTTAATTTTGTTAAAACTTTATATATAGCAAATTGTTTGAATATGTTTAAACTTATACTATTTATAAACTATAAATAACCAATATATGTAGATTTTATTCATCACTTACATGTAATGCAAATGTATATTATAGAACTATATATTTTATATTAACAAATTTGCCCATATAGCATGCATATTGAAAAGACGTTCAGAAGATATCTTCGGAATATCTTCTAAACGTCTTTTGAATATGCATGTTGTATGAGTAAATTTATTATAATATAAAATGCATAATTCTATTGCTTTTAAAAAGTTGTACTAACTTCTCAATTTTTGTACAAATATATATTATTTTCAATTCTGTTTAGGTCCAATTTTTAAGTTATTTTATTTCTTAAATTTATTATTTCTAATTTAGTACCCTAAAGATATCCCGAAGATATCTTCTGAATGTCTTTTGAATAAGCATGCTGAGTGGACATATACTAAATTGAAATTTATTAAATAAAATAACTTAAAAATTGAACCTAAACAAAATTGAAAATAATATTATATTTGTATAAAAATTGAAAAGTTAGTATAGTTTTTTAAAAGCAATAGATTTATGCATTTTATATTAACCAAATTTATTCATGCAGCATACATATTCAAAAGACATTCAGAAGATATCCCGAAGATATCTTCTGGATGTCTTTTGAATGAGCGTGCTGTATATATAAGTACTATAAATTAAAATTAAAAAAATAAAATAACTGAAAAATTGGACCGAAACAGGATTGAAAATAATATTATATTTATATAAAAATTGAAAAAATTGAATTTATAAAAAATTGAAAAGTTAGTACAGCTTTTTAAAAGCAATAGATTTATGCATTTTATATTAACCACTTTACTCATACAGCATACATATTCAAAAGACGTTCAGAAAATATTCCGAAGATATTTTCTGCATGTCTTTCGGATGTGTTGTGCTGCTAGATTATATTAATTAAATTATTGGACTAGCATGTTATATTAGTTTAAGAAATAAACGTATGAAGAAAAAGTTTATTGTAACTATGCTTAATTATAAATAAAATAGTAAATAAAATAATATAAGACATATATACGAGACTTACCGCTTTAATATTAATAAAACTATATGTACTGCCTGCTGCTACTCCACGAAATGTTGTTTTCACACAACGCACAATCACTTTAGACAAATTAAAACGTCGCAAGTCGATTTCTAGATTTTTCAAAGCGTGGTGTACTGCATGAAAGATGAACGAGAAATGAGACAGTAATGATGAGAGCCAAGAAGAGCAGTGAAGACAAATGAAAAATGTCTAGCCGCAGTGTCGCACAACTCACGCAGTGCAATCAACTTATCTACCATTAGTGGAGTATGCATTGTAATTGATTTATAATTTTTAAGATGCCAAAATTAAAAGAATATTATTAGCGTTATTAGCGCATAGTTCGCTCCAATACTATATACTCAACGTATATTACTTTTTAATATTTGCAATATATATATATATATCCTAAAAAAATCATAAAAATGAAAAGGTCAGGCCATGTTCAAAAGAAGGTACTCAAAAATTTAAACGATCTAATAATAAATTATCACGAAAAGTAACTGATATGTTATTCAAGGTGCCAGTTCAAAGTGAACATACGTAAAGTGTATATTATCAAAATTTAGTAATAATATATTATCATGAAAAGTAACTGTAATATTTTATTCAAGGTGCAAGTTCACATTGAATATACATACATATAAGTAAAACTGATTACAATTTGATTCTAGAAAATAAGTGCGATATGTTATTCTTAGTGCACAAAATATAATAGTCGTTTATAGAGATTTGATTTGAAATTCATACTAGCCCGTACAATGAAAAATAATTGCTCGTAATTCCAGAGTACCAATTTGTTAATGACTCAGAAAAATAACATGGCGGCCTGCTCTCAAAAAACTATGATGTTTCTCGATGTCCATTTAGAAATAATGTCGAAGCTCTTACAGAATAATTACTACAACATTTGAAATACGAAAAGTATTACATTAGAAGAAGATTAGATTAGAATAAGGATTCAACGTATTTTTAAAAGCTCTACACACACAACGAAGTGAATATACAAAACTATATACAAATACCTTTTTCTTCTGTGTTTCTGAAGAAAATTGTAAGTCAAATGAAACCTTGCACTTTGAGAACCATGTCACTTACTTTTCAGAGTCAAATTGATAAATTTTTTTTGTATATTTTAATGATATTTATTTCTCACTTGTATCTTGAATAATTAATATGTAATTTTTTATTGTATATTACGACAAATAATCAGTAAACTTTTTAAGCGTATAGCTTTATTGTAGTTGACCTGAGAACTGTACATTTATAAATTTTACTTAATATACACCCGTTTCGAGCAACAAGGCAAAGTTTTCTGATCAATAACTTACTCCCTGAAAATACGGTATAACACAAATCGGAAGTTGATACGAAAATTCGAAATTTTACTAAAGAAAGATTGGAGGTTTTTAATTTATACAATTTTCACAACTCTTATTTCAATTATTTATTCTACCCATCGAAAGTTTTTTGAGAGCAGGCCGCCATGTTATTTTTCTGAGTCATTAACAAATTGGTACTCTGGAATTACGAGCAATTATTTTTCATTGTACGGGCTAGTATGAATTTCAAATCAAATCTCTATAAACGACTATTATATTTTGTGCACTAAGAATAACATATCGCACTTATTTTCTAGAATCAAATTGTAATCAGTTTTACTTATATGTATGTATATTCAATGTGAACTTGCACCTTGAATAAAATATCACAGTTACTTTTCATGGTAATATATTATTACTAAATTTAGATAATATACACTTTACGTATGTTCACTTTGAACTGGCACCTTGAATAACATATCAGTTACTTTTCGTGATAATTTATTATTAGATCGTTTAAATTTTTGAGTACCTTCTTTTGAACATGGCCTGACCTTTTCATTTTTATGATTTTTTTAGGATATCACTTACTTTTTAAAGTACAGATATATAGAGCAGCTTTCTAGTAATTCAAGTATCACAAATATATGTATTTTCGATTCTTATCACATAACTTTGTATAAGTAACAATTTATGCAATACAGTTCAAAATAATTGAAATATATGGTATATATGTACATATATAAAATATATAATTATATTATAGTATATGGGCCCCTCCATCGCCCATTCTCGTGAGAACGCAACCATATATTTTTCTTCGTCTCTCCGATTTTAACACGACATACATATTTCTGTCTGATAATTTTTTCTTGATGATACTTTTTGAAATGTCATGAAGCCTAGGTCAAATTAGAAACTTATTGCACTCGTTTTAATGCAGCGCTTACAGCAGCTTTTATAAAGCGCCAGAGCAGCCGATATTTTATTTTGGCGCTTACGGCAACTTTTATACAGCGCTAGAACAGTTGATGTTTTAATGTAGCGTTTACGGCAGCCTTTATACAGCGCCATTATTTAATCTGTTCTAAGAACAATATGTATGCTCCTTGTGCTCCTTTGGGCCATTTTTTCTTGAACACTTCCATATCATTAGAGTAATACCATTCCGATTTTGTGTCAGCTCTCAACATACACGTGTAGTGACCACGATTCATTTTTTCACCTTCGTGAAATATAGCGCTTATTAGCTTGTACTTTTTTTATTAATCGTGATATTACTCGTCGGCACGGCGGTAATCCGATTGTTGATAATTTTTTTAGAAGCACCGTTTACAAAAGTATA